AGTCAAGAGCCAAAGGTTTCCTTTCCTATATGGAAGCTAGAGCAGAATTAGGGGAAATAATGGGGGTAGGAAATCCCAGCAAAATAGGAAAGATCAGTGGAGCAGAGCAAGGGGCTGAGGGGGAGAGAGGACAGACAGGGAAGAAACAGAGGAGGAATCTGACCGGCCATTTTATGCACATGTGTGAATACACCACAGTAATCCTTGCCTTGATGACCATCTATAGTGACCAATCCAAGCCAGATCTATGAATAAACAGCAGAGTCCAGAAGAAGGGGAAATAGGGAGGGAGGAGAGAAGGAAAGGGGAACACGGGGGACAGAAGTGGAGAAAACATAGTCCACACTCCCCTGATTCTGGCAGAAGGACCCCAAGGTCCTATGCCACCCCAGCAGCCACAGCCCTCTGTAGCATTTCTCAGGGTTGTAACCAAAGGCCGCTGACTTCTCTGTACTAGTTTTTCAGTGCTGAGTTTGCAGATTTAAGGATTTGCATAGCAGCTGGGTCATTGTAATGGTCCAAACTTATGCTAATTAGAGTTTGAAAGAAGAACTAATGCTATTGGCTCAAGCATATGCTAATCAGGGTGGAAACATAGGAAGGCCATTGGTCTGCTCTCAAGTTCTGAATTCCACTCAGTCTGGCTCACTTCCATCTTCTCTCTGCAGGTCAGGTGCTGGGGGTTGAGAAGGGTGGATTTGGTTACAGTTTGTGCCACAACCTTCTACAGGAGGTTTTCACAATGGGCCCAGGCCTGGCCGAGAGGGGTGACATGTCCCTGCACCTTGGCTCCTAGAACCTCAGGCCCTCCACGATTGGTTGGCAGGATCCATACAGCACTGTTTGGCGTTGTGTGATCCTGGCCACCAGCAATACAAACCGCTCTGCTGCCAGAGCTCCACCTGCAGGTCCGTCCTTCCTCCACCTGCAGGTCCCTCCTTCCTCCACCTGCAGGTCTGTATTTCCTCCATCTGCAGGTCCATCCTTCCTCCACCTGCAGGTAGCTCCTTCCTCCACCTGAGAGCTGTCCTAACTCCTCCTGCAGGTCCATACTAGCTCCATGTACATGCCTGTCCTTTCTCTACCTGCAGGTCAAGCTTCCTCCACCTGCAGGTCTGTCCTTTCTCCACCTGAGGTCTATCCTCCCTCCAACTGCAGGTCCGTACTCCCTCCACTTGTGGGTCCTTTCTCCCTCTACCTGCTGTTCGTCCTTCCTCCATCTGCGGGTCTGTCCTCCCTCCACTTGCGGGTCCGTCCTCCCTCCACCTACAGGTCCGCGCTTCCTCCACCTGCAGGTCTGTCCTTCCTCCACCTGAGGTCCATCCTTCCTCCACCTGCAGGTCCGTCCTTCCTCCACCTGAGGTCCGACCTCCCTCCACCTGCAGGTCTGTCCTTCCTCAAGCTTCAGGTCTGTCCTTCCTCCACCTGAAAGTCTGTCCTTCTTCCACCTGCAGGTGTGGCCTCCCTCCACCTGCGGGTCCGTCCTCTCTCCACCTGCGGGTCCATCCTTCCTCCACTTGCAGGTTGGTCCTTCCTCCACCTGCAGGTCCATCCTCACTCCACCTGCAGGTCATTCCTCCCTCCACTTGTGGGTTCATCCTCCCTCCACCTAAGGGTCCGTCCTCCCTTCAACTGCGGTTCCATCCATCCTCCACCTGCAGGTCCATCCATCCTCAACCTGCAGGTCTGTCTTTCCTCCACCTGCAGGTCTGTCCTTCCTCCAACTGAGGTCTGTCCTTCCTCCACCTGCACGTGTGTCTTTCCTCCACCTACAGGTCTGTCCTTCCTCCATCTGAGGTCTGTCCTTTCTCTACCTGAAATTCCGTCCTTCCTCCACCTGCAGGTGTGTCCTTCCTCCACCTTCAGGTCTGTCCTTCCTCCACCTGCAGGTCTTTCTTTCCTCCACCTGCAGGTCTGTCCTTCCTCCAACAGAGGTCTGTCCTTTCTCTACCTGAAATTCCGTCCTTCCTCCACCTGCAGGTGTGTCCTTCCTCCACCTTCAGGTCTGTCTTTCCTCCACCTGAACGTTTGTCCTTCTGCCACCTGCAGGTCTGACCATCCCCCACCTGCAGGTTCATCCTCCCTGCACCTTCGGGTCCACCCTTCCTCCACCTGCGGGTCGGTCCTCCCTCCACCTACGGGTCTGTCCTTCCTCCACCTGCAAGTTTGTCCTTCCTTCACCTGCAGGTCTGCCCTCCCTCCACCTGCAGGTTCTTCCTCCCTCCACCTGGGGGTCCATCCTCCCTCCACCTGCAGGTCCTTCCTCTCTCCACCTGCAAGTTCATCCATCCTCCACCGGCAGGTCCATTCTTCCTCCATCTGCAG